CCTGCTCCTTCCTGAATGGACAGTTCTAGTGGGTGGTAATGGGTGAAAAAGGATTTAACCATATTTATTAGCACAATGCAGGGTTCCATATAGTTCACTTTCTTTCTTGTTGTTTACCTGAATTTCCTGGAAAAGAACTTCTATTGGTTTGGAGTATTAATGATATCCAAATATATATCTGAATTCCAGGCACTTCCTTAAACTCACACAATCTTACTCCAATTCATCAAAAATCTAAGTGAAGAAATTGGAGCCAAAAAGAGGTTGGCTGTTTCAGAAATACACCAGAAAGAACACATATGAAGTGAATTTTGAAGAAGTACCCTCAAGACACAGCTATATGGAATGCATCAGTAATTTGTTCAGCACAACTACTTTTTTTTACCAAAAAGATAATTCTTTCACCCCAAAAGAAAGAGAAAATAAATAATTTTAAAAATCATAAAAATGTGAATCATGATTGGTTTGACATCTCTAATTAGGTTTGCCAACTGTAGCTAAAATCAGTCCTATAAATTTCTTTTTCCTCTTTCCAATAAGTCTATATCTGTACACAAACACACACCCATGCATACATACATTGCCAGAAGCCATACTGCAAAAGAAGGGCTAGAGTGATAAAATATTTTATTCATAAAGTTGCCTGTAAAATAAGATACCCATTTAAAAATACCTATCTACCTGTATCAACCGTTCTCTCTCATGCACACATAAACACACAGACACACACATTCCTTTCTCCCCAGAAGAACCGGCATAAGAGAAAGAAACACCTCCACCCTCCCTTCCAAGAGTGAGGCAAAGGTGACAATGTGACAGGGAAGGAAAGAGAAAACTGGGAAAAGAAACAGGTGTAGATAAAATCAGGGGGGAAACTGGAGAGCAAAACAAAAAAGAACTTTAAGTGTTACTAAATGATTAAATTTACCAGGCAAATGGCTCTACTTAAACAGCAATTTATCTTCAATGTATAATGGCAGCCACCAAGTTTTTCAGCAGGATATTTTCAGCCATATTCACTTTTTTTTTCATTCATGTGGTAGCACCTAGCTGACTTGGGCTGATCTCAAAGAAAGCTATCAATCAGAATAGAGCTGGAAGGGACCTTGGAGGTCTTCTAGTCCAGCCCCCTGCTCAAGCAGGAGACCCTATACCATTTCAAACAGAGGACAGTCCAATCTCTTCTTAAAAACCTCCAGTGATGAAACACCCACAACTTCTTAAGGCAAGCTGTTCCATTAGTTAACTGTTCTCACTGTTAGGAAATTTCTCCTTAATTCCAGGTTGCGTCCTTGTTTAGTTTCCATCCATTTTTCTTGTCCTTTGGAAAATAAATGGACACCCTCTTCTTTGTGTCAGCCTCTCAAATACTGGAATACTGCTATCATGTCCCCACTCATCCTTCTTTTCTCTAGACCAGCCAAACCCAAATCCTGCAACTGTTCTTCATATGTTTTTGCCTTCAGGCCTTCAATCATCTTAGTTGCTCTTCTTTGCACTTTTTCCAAAGTCTCAACATATTTTTGGTAATTTGGTGACCAAAACTGGATGCAGTATTTCAGGTGTGGTCTTACTAAGGTTTTATAAATTGGTACTAATACATCACATGATTTTCATTCTATGTCTTTGTTTATAAAACCAAGGATTGTATTAGTTTTTGGCTGCTGCTGCACACTGATGACTCACGTTTAAGTGATCATCCACTAGGACTCCAAGGTCCCTCCCACAGTTACTGTCTTTGAGCCAGATTTTGCCTAACCTGTAGTTGTACCTTTGGCTTTCCCTGCCCAGGTGTAAAACGTAAGTGGGATCAACTCATTTATTTACTTAGGTTGGGAGATCCTTGAGAACTCTCAGGATCAGAGGCTGGACTGTGAAGTCAACATCTTTCCCAGGTAACTACAGTATTTGGGGAGGAGAAACCCTCATTTTCCTATCGTCTTTGGTCTTCATGCAATTTCCCCAGAATCTAAAAAATGAAGCATCTGAGCTCTTGGCTTGATACGTTTTCATTTCCAGCCATGGAAGCCATAGTTGTATTAGCCATATTGTCAACTCATAAAACATTTCCTGACACATATTTATTAGAAGCTTCAAGACTGCCACAGTTGGTGCCTGGGAATTTGGGAGGGGGAAATTCTTAGTGAGTAGATTAGACTCAACATTTTTCTCAAAAGTCAAGGACATGTCATCCTGCACCTGAATGGGAGTGGGCAAGGGTTTGTCTTCAGATAGAATGATGTTTGATTGGGCCATGTGATGGACAGATGGGTTCAGGGGATGGGTCTTTGATTTTCACATGGGGAAGGGAAAACCCAGAACTTTCAGATTTGGGTTTTTCCAGATGTCCCAACATGACTTCTTTAATAAATTCTTACTTGGATGGACTTTGTTTCTGAGTGCTGAATGAAAATGGAGAGTTTCTTTGGAATGCTGACATCAGGTTTGGTTCACAATACACTTAACTTACAATTCAGGCAAAGACTGAAATATTCCATTTTAATTCCAGATCTCACCAATATGGCCATCCTGGAAGTCATCTAGTGGTTGAATATGTGCAACTGATGTTCTTCATTCTGAAGAACAGAATATTCTGCAATTACCCAGAATGTTGCCTCAAAACAATAACTTTTGCACATAACTATTTAAAAGGCAGTTTTCTTTCAAGAATAATTCCCAACATGACTAATAGAAGATCAGTATTAAAAATAATTCTACATTAGTGATGCAAAACAAGTAACTCTCTGTAAATGTATAACTAGACAATGTATTAAAATCCATTCAAATCCATTCATTCAGCCATTCTCAATGGTACAATAACAATCATATGCAAATATCAAAACAGATTCTTATCTTTCAAAGCTACTAATACATTCCATAAATAAAATTAACTTTATGAAATCTCTGAAAACACTAATAAAATAAAAATATTAACAAAACCATGTATCCTCACAGGAATATTACTGTGATCCTATCTGGGAGGTGCATGAAGAAAGCTGAACTGCAGATAACAACGCAATACACAAATACGTTTAAAGATAATTTCAACTTTTATGGTTTTTGCATACACATTCAGATCTTTTCAGTCCAGTTTGCTTGGAGAGTTACAGCACTTGCTTTTCAAACTAATGCCATTAGAAACTAATGCCATTGGCACAAGGGACAAATATTTCATTGTATGTAATTGTGCAGATATTGGATGCATTCAGCCACTTTTACCGCAAACTTTGTGAGCTGCAACAATACACTGATAATGCAATCTTGCTCTTTGGCATTTATATTCCATCTATACAAAATACAACGCTGGCATTTTTCAAAAAGAAAATATAATCCCTTTGAATAAAGATGATTTTTCTGCTTTCTAAAAAGAAGCAGTATTGTAGTGCTGAATCTTCCACATACATGCTTTCGAGCCCTTCCAATTATTGGAGTACTACTTTTACACAAATTTATGTGCACGTGCATTTCTCTCAGCTGAACATTAATAGAATAAAAAGCAATTCTTGGCTGGTATTAAGCAAAATACCAGTTTGCAAAAACATCCAAATAAATATTAGGTGAAAGTCTAAGATTACTTCTTGCAGAAAGCCAAGGCATCTTAAAATGGAAAATATTACTATTTCAGGTATTATTCTTTTTCTTGTATCCTTATATTTTCTTGCCTCTGTAGAACTAAAAGAAAATTAAGATACTGGAATTCAATGTATTGCTAATATAACAATTGATGAGCCAGAAAAGCCATTATGAGAGAGACGGACACATTAATTTTTCGGTCAGTCCCCAGTGTCAAAACCAATTTTTTGTGAGAATTGGCCAAAATGCATGCATCAAAAGACAATAGGAGAATATGCTTTACTGAAGAGAAAAGGTGTATCCAAATTTATCTGCAGCTGGTTATATGCCTTTTAAAAAATTACTTTTGTCCTTTAAATACAATGAGGCCATCTCTATAAAACTAAGTTCCCTGTTAAGTTACTACTTCAGATAAAAAATTGTTATGTTGACATAGGGAACATAGGGGAGGCAGGCGCCATCACAAAATTAAACATTATTGAATCTTTTGAAAGCCTTAACGATTTTTCCTTTTATTTCCTTGTATTAAAAAATTCGCAGCTGTGTGTCCCAATTAAAACATCAACAAAACCCAAATCGTCAGCTTACATAATGCGAACCCAGACAAGTGAAAAGTAAAATGCAAGTCGATTGTTTCTTCCAATGGGAGTGGTGTTCAAAGAACAAATTCTTACGTTCAGTTGCAAATCTGTCAAGCGTGAACTCAGTTCATGAAACGAATTCCAGAGGCTGACTCATGGTTGGACTGAAGTTGTGCAAGCATGCATTCCTGTGAGGACCAGCCTGATGGCATGGCTTTTTATTCGAGAGGAAGGAGTGGTGGTGGAGAGAGATATGTGCATTTGAATCAACAGGCTCACAATCACACCCAAAAGAAATCTAGGCAGAGCTTAGTATAATAGTGTGGAGGAAGAGCACTTCCAGAGAAGGCAAAGCCTTGAGTCAGTGTTGGAGGGTCAGTGTGTTCTCAGTTTGATTTCCAAAGACTTGGGAGAAAAAGTCAAAAGCCAAGCGGACATGGATGGGGATGAAAACGTAGGCAGTGTACACCACCATAGCAACAACAGTAATTATGATAGTATCAAACATGGATCGTTCCCAAGGCTCCAGCACATAACTGCAGGTAACCAGGAGATACTGAAAATGCAGCCAGTAAATGTAATCCTTAATTTTCTTCAGATCCATTGTTGGCGCAAATGTCAGGAAACCTAAGAGAAAACAGACAATGTAGAGTAACAGTGAAAAAAGAAAAGTTATTATATGGTTATCAGTGTCTTAAAAAAAGAAATATCCTTCACCTGATGTATTGCTAACATATCAGAACTGCCTTAAATGAACAAGTCCACCATAAGTACATCAAGCCAGAAGTGGATAGAGATCTCTGTCTTGAATTCTCAACCATGTGGTACAGCTGCTCTTTTCGACTGTGGGAATGGCTCTGCCATAAAAGAGCAGGACCATCACTGATTTTTGAAACCCCTATAATCTTTTCCCTCCCACAATATTTGGTGAATGAATCACTGGAAGCATTCAGAGATACTGAGCCTGAGCCTCTCCTTTCCTCAGTGCTTGCAGGGTGCAAATTTCTGCTGTAATTTAGGCCAGAGGAAACATCACTGATGTAAGGTGTAAAGAGTTGCTTCCCTTTAGGACAAGCCACTGCAGGAAACTATACAGAATAACAGAGTTGGAAGGGACTTTGGAGATCTTCTAGTCTAAACCCCTTCTCAAGTAGGAAGCCCTATAATATTTCAGACAAATGGTTGTCTGTAGTCTCTTCTTAAAAACCTCCTGTGCTGGAGCACACACAATTTCTGAAGGCAAGTCATTCCACTGATTAATTGTTCTAACTGTCAGCTAATTTATCCTTAGATCCAGATTGGTTCTCTCCTTGATTAGTTTCCATCCATTGCTTCTTGACCTGCCTTCAGTTGCTTTGAAGAATAGGTTGACCCCTTTTCTTCGTGGCAGCTCCTTAGATCAGGGGTGTCAAACTTGCAGCCCGTGGGCTAGATGCATCACGAATGAGCCCTGCCCTTGCCTGGTTTAGTGAAGGGGAAAGAAGTCCCGATACGTCACGTGATGCCGCCGTGGCGCCTTTGACACTCTTGCCTTAGATATTGGAGCAATGCTATCATGTCACCCATAGTCTTTATTTTCATTAAACTAGACATAACCAACCTGCAACTGTTCTTCATATGTTTTAGCCTTCAGTCTACTGATCATCTTTGTTGTTGTTATCTGCACTCTTTCTAGAGTCTCAACATCATGGTGACCAAAACTGGATGCAGTATTCCAAATGTGGTCTTGCCAAGACATTATAAAGTGGTACTAACATTTCACATGATCTTAATTCTATCCCTCTGTTAATACATTTCATTCAGTAGTCACTGAATGATACTGTTAATAATGAACAGTATTCACTATTCCATTCAATATTCACTTTCATCTCAACTATTTCTGAATCAATCTTACTTCTATTATACACGTAAACCGGCAGGTTGGAAGAAAGAAGGCTGGGTTAGTTTTCCATGGGAATTCCATGGACCCAAATTAAATAAGGGTTCCCAGTTTAGTATTTTTTACCAGAAAATGTGAATTATTTGACCTCTTGCATCAGACACATAACTGAATAACGGAGTCACTCTTTTATAAAGTGGCACCGCCACAATGGAATATTGTTAGGTGCAAGGAACCATACAAGGAGCTGATCAGGGGAGTATGTTTATTGTTTCTTGATTATAGACAAGAATCTTGCCAGACTAAAGTAATCACTATACAACTAGGATATTAGATAAGCAGATTTTAGGAGGATTTTCTTCAGCCTCTTCCTTCCCATCGGTGACTCAAGGCTAGCCAGCCTTTTCACTCGTTCCCTGAACTGAGCTCCAGATTACCACAAATGCTGAAGATCCACCTGATATTTATGTTATGTATATTATTTGTTATCAAGCAAAAACACTTGCAGTTATTCAATTATTTTAAACTATTGTAAAACTGAAAGGGCATTACAATCTCCCACCCCGTTTCACTACCCCACTTCTAACATTCCTCAAAAATATTTTTCTTGGAGCAACACATAAGGGAAAACCTGAAAAACAGCTTCACCTTCTTCCATTAAGACTGGTTTTACTAGCTAATTTGATACTTAGCACATCTAAGATTGGTTCAGTCTGTAGAGATAGAGTCAGAGGACTTGTTCCCAATGAGAAAATAACTGTTACTTACATAAAAGCAATAGCTTAAATGTAGAAAACCTACTTTGTTTATAGATGTTCTCAATTTTAGTATCCCCAGCTAAATCTCTGAAATATTCCTGCTAATCAGTTTGAACCAAACTGTTACAAGGACCAACAATCTGGCTGTATTTATGCATTTTCTATTTATACTTTTTCAATATTAAGAGTATCTAAAGAGCAGACTGTTAAAGAAAGACTTTGTTAGAACTGAATAATCAATATGGTTCAAAATGAATGTCAAATTTAGATAACCTTTGGTAAAAATGTAGATGTAACTCAAAGAAATGATTCTTATACTCTGAAGCAGCACGTGTGTTTAAAATTCAAACCAAGATTAATTGTTTTTTATAGATCGAATATTGTAATAGTAAAGCTGCCACCTAATTAACATTATCTTAAGCTGCTCCCTACGTACATTGTACATAGACAGAATTATGTCCAACATAATTCTTTCTGAAATAGATATTACTGAATTTTTATACTGCAGACAGTTCTTTTTCCATACTGTGTGTTTACTTGCTTAATACTCTTCCAGTCAATATTCTGAGTGGTTCTTTTAGAATTATTCATTAATCCATTTGCAGAGCAAACAGTTGGATCACTCCAACGTATCTCAGATCTTGTTAGATGCAGCCTGGCAGGTCAGAGACCTTTGCTTTTATGTTTTTCCAGCTGCTTGTTTCCATGCCTTCTATGTAACAAGTGGGTAAGTCAAGATTTCACAACCCCATTAATGCCTTGGAGCAAGTAGAAAAGCAGGTCCTGAACATTGCTACCCCAGAGGCCAAAATGGTTTACATTTAAAAAGAACTCAACAATTTTGCATTGAGTGTTACTCATATGTAACAGAAAGCAGGCACCACTTTAGATGCATTTTCACAAATTTAATGCCTGCCTGCCTGCAGTGATATCCACTGATTGTACATTCTATCCCAATGACCTATAAATCAATAAAGTTCAATAAACGACTTCCATCCTAGTAGTTGATGAAAGCATTTTAAACTGAATGAAAGCATAGCAACCTTGAACAATGTATTAAAAAGTTATGATGAAAGTTTAAGTTAAAGAGACTTTTTTACAAGCTGAAGTTTGTTCAGTCTGTCCTTTGCAAAAGAATACACATGGTTATGCCTCTTTGTACACTGACTTTACTAGAAAAGATAGCCAAACAAAGAAATACAAATACAAACAATGTGCCTATGCAATTCTTGTTTCACAGTTGCATTGTTTGGTAATGAAGCACTTGGTCAGTGTATGTTGTTTTTCAATATACTCATGTTTCTAATTTGCAGTTATTTTCTCTGCTGATAAGGATATATAGGAAAATGACTGCTGTTGTTTTCTTTTTCTCTTGTGAATTTTATTCCTTTGAAGATTAATTTTTTTATTATGGTGAGGCAGTTGTCTATGGGTCTGTGTGGGAGTGCAATAGTTTGTTCCTTATCTTTCTACACCTGAAAGAAAATGAATCCCGCATTCAAATTTTATTTATTTGTGATAGGAATAACAAGGTTACCTAACGTAGTTTGGATAAAATAATATATATAAACTATGATAGTAAGTTTAAGTGTGTGTCAC